ACAGCAGCCTAATAGCAGGTAAGCAACAACCACTGAAATACTTACAAGATAAGGGAGGGTATTTATGGTTGTGTTAGACTGCTAACATTTTAACAGCCCAGGGGATATTCAATTTCTGTGTAGATCTCCTAAAGAGAAATGTACCTTCACAGTGTAGGAAATGAGAAAGAAGATGGTAATGCAAGTGAGAACAGCAATTGGATGAATCTGTGGTAATTTTAGTGAAACAGCTGTGCCAATATGCTTGGGGAACAGTTGAACAAGGCACACAGACATATATGCCATGGCAAACCTATAGTCGGTACAGAAATATGAGGGAATATGAAGTATCTGAGGCAAAATGGGAAGCCAAGAATGAGAGAACAAGAAATGTGTTGAGTTTGCAAATTAAAAAAATGGTGTTGAAGGATGTTACTAGAAAGACGCTTGCCTTTCTAGTGCTAAGGGAAGAGCAATATAACAATAAAGTAGTAGGATAGAAGTATGCGTCATGCAATGCCAAACTGGTAACACAAATAAAAAGACATGTCGGGCTCTTGAACTGGGGGAGACCATAAAGTAAATGTGAGAAGATGAGCTGGGTCCAAGGTCAATCTCAGAAACCCACCCAAAACCTCAAAAAAATTTGCAAGACAGCTGAGAGCAGCCTACAAGCTCTGATGTCACTCACACCAGGGCCCCAATTCCAGTCTACTGGTGCTCCAGGACATCATTTGCTCACATTCACTCAGTGGGATGTTCCCTCCTGTCACCAGTTCTTTTGGCCAAAGAAGATTTTTATGAAAGATTACAACGCTGTTTAGTAATAAAGCTTAAAAAGCCACGCTTCTAGAATTCAGATAGATTCTCCCTATAAAAAGCACTGTCTTTTACCCAACTCCAACTTTCATACTTAGATGCACATTTGTGTTTTGTTTATAAAACCCTTTTTGTCATATATTTTATTGGAAATTCTCAATAAAATTATGTACTTCAAAGTAGAGCCTTACTCTTGTATTTTGAAACAGCATTTGTTTACTGCGTAAGAAAGAAAGGAAGTGGTTTTGTCCCTCACTTACCAAATAACACTGAGATAGAAAGTCCTGTATGGTGCCGTCAATCCAAGGGAGAAGTGAAATTTATGTTAAATGTAGTAATCACATTTCCCTCTAACCAGTAGACTTACTACCAAGGTACATGCCTTGCAGGACCTACACCCTCACTACCACATTTGTCTGGAGGTGTTGGCTGATTGAGCCTGCCCAAACCCTCCTCACACAGGGACTCTGAAATAAGAGTATACAGCATACTGCTTGGTTCTTTCTGTTAAAGAATACTTCATATTGGCTGAATGGTCTTCAGTGATAAAAAGAGCTTCTTGAGAAAACGAAGATGTCTCTCTTTTTTTAGCTGATCTCAGCTGTGTTTGTTGGCTTTTTTTCTTCCTATTACTTGAAAAAAATTCTTCAAACACTATTTTTTTCCAAGGAGACATTTCAGTTCGGAATTTTTAAAGTTAATTTTACTCTTCCAAGTTCATTATTGCTTTAGGCTCTTTCTTTGAAGAACATATGCACTTTCACAATCTGCTGTCACCTTTGCCTTTAAGGTCCATTTCTCCCAACATCCTGAAGCTCCTGACCTCTTCAGTTGTTGCTTCCATGCAGAAATAGAATGGCCATCCTGTTACCCTTTGTTCAGGGAATGTACCAACCAAGCAGTAAAACTGCACAGACCACTAGATTATCACCAATGAAACAATAGCTACTGAGGCATATCCATCCTGCAGCTTTATTGTTGTTTTGGGGCTCTAACAGATCATCTGGTGTATACGTGTATGAGATAAGCAGTTTTTGAAGCCAATTTGCAATCAGTATCCTGATAATGCATTTGGTACAGCTTCTTGCAATGATGGGAGTTTGCAAGTAATCTTTTTAGTAACCACAGATCTCATGTGCCTCACCTGAAACACTGACTCTTTATTTAACACTGCACCCTAAAGCAAAATTTGCATTAAGAAGCACTGCCTGTACAGAATAATTATGTTGGCAAATCCTAACAGGACAAGCAAGCCCAAATAGAGGCAGAGCTGGGTGCTTTGCCGCTTCTCAGAGGAGTGAGGCTTGTGTTCAGTACTTTCTATTAACTAAATTTGACTCAGTTCATCAGGATTTAGAAATCTCAAGAAGGCTCAGGCTTGCATAAAATCAACTCCTTGCTGATACTAGCATTCAACCCTAGTTCTGACCTGCACAACCAACTGTGGCAGAGACCCTCCAAGTACTAGATGCAAGTCAAAGAAAAGAGCAAAAAGGGGGAATGGCAGAACAAAATGGCAGAACAAAACAACATCTCATAGATATAAAAAGGTGTGTCCTTATCTACACATGGCAAGGTAACCAGAAATGAGATGTTAAGTCCCTACTGCTAACTCTACCAGAAACATGTCTTATTCAGCATTAAGGAACCATTCACACTTAAGGATGACACAGAAGGATTTGTTTGCACATATTCAACATTACTGAATTTGCTATCTGCATTTTAAAAGGATTACAAAAACTCTGTGGGATAAAAACTCTGTGGGATAAAAAGACTTAAAGAGAAGAGATGGGTGTAGTGGGTACTTTTGTGTTCTGATCTACTTGGAATATATTGATTTATAGCAGTGTCATGTTATTTTCTGGCATAGAATAAATTTTCTTTGTAGAGGTTCATATGATGCTGCATTCTAGATTTTTTATGAAAATAAGGGTGATAACACACCAGTGCACTAATTTTTTCAGTGGTAGCAAAGCAGTGCTTGTACAGAATCCAGGAAATTTCAGGTTCTCCCATTGCCCTGCCAGCATGGGAGCTGGGGTGGACAGGGAGTTGGGAGGGGACACAGTAAGGACAGCTGACAAAATGGCCAAAGGGATATCCCTGTATTATATGCTGTCATACTCAGCAGTAAAATCTGGGGTAAAGAAAGAAGAGGTAGGGGACATTCAAAAGATGGTGCTTGTCTTCCCAAGAAACTATTAGACATGATGAACCCAACTTTCCTTCGAGTGACTGAACATGTATGCCACTTTACCTACTGAACTGTTTTTATTTCAAATCATGAGTTCTTGAACTTTTACCTTAGTAATTCTTTCCCCTATCCTACTGGGATAGGGAGCAAGTAGCTGTGTGGTACTGAGCTGCCCACTGGGGTTAAACCACAACACGCAGTAACTACTGGCCTACCTCACTGGCCAAGACTTGATAATGCCCAGTGCTATTCAGGTACCGTATAATAAGGGTACATCTCATAAAAGAACAAGTGCTAGAGAAGAGGCAGAAAGTCATAGAATCATAGAATCACAGAATAGCCTGGTTGAAAAGGACCCCAAAGATCATCCAGTTTCAACCCCCTGCTATGCGTAGGGTCACCAACCACCAGACCAGGCTGCCCAGAGCCACATCCAGCCTGGCCTTGAATGCCTCCAGGGATGGGGCATCCACAGCCTCCTTGGGCAACCTGTACAGTGCGTCACCACCCTCTGTGTGAAAAACTTCCTCCTAATATCTAACCTAAACCTCCCCTGTCTCAGTTTAAAACCATTCCCCCTTGTCCTATCGCTATCCACTAAGCCAATATTCTTTTGTAAACCTCTCAATTACACTGTGGGCTTCTTAAGTTTGCATTTTAGCCTATGTTAGTCCAAAAAGAAATTTCACAGAAAGAAAGGAAAAAGGGAAAAGTGAAAAAGAAGAAATGGCAATAGGTCAAAGACTGTAGAAGGAAAGAACTTTCCCCTTCCCAAGCTGTGTGTGACAGCAGAACAAGAACAGATTGGTCTACGTAGCCACCTGGTCTGCCCAGAAACAATGTCAACATAAGAATGTCTTCTTGCTGTACTTGTAATAAAATTCTGTATTAACAACTTGATAGTGAAATAACAACTTTGTCCGTGGCCATCTTTCTCCTGACATTAACCGTTTCTCTTTCCACCTACAGGCACAAGAATGACCCTCCTTCACCAGAGCTCCACACCTGAGTCCTTGGCAACACTTCTTCACAAATCTGACTGGATTTGTGTCAGATTTGTTTTTTAGCCTGTAAAAACTTAGAAAATAGAAAAATTGAGACTTCCATATTCCATTTTAGTTGAAAATAAATAAAAGCTGCTATGTATTATTTCATGCATTCTTTACATTGTTACTTTCAGTTCATATAGTGTATTCAGTGATTAATACCTTATCACAGATTCACTCCCCTTATCTTCTCTTCCATCATAGACAGGCCATTATACATCTTGCCTTCATTCTACAATGCTTTTGAACAGGAAATAGTAATCTTGCATGATCTCTCAAAACCATAGTTGTAAAAAAGTCTTATTTATTGAAGAAAATCCGGAGAAGTGCATAAGTGCTTTACACTTCTAAATTCTTAACTGCTTCACCTGAACAGGTATGTAGTCTAATGCCTTTTCTCAGAGAATATGTTCACATTAAAAGTAGTCTCTATATTCCCCTGATGTCTGATCATTAATGAGAGAAAGCAATCCTGCTACATGCTTGACAACAAATTCATAAAGTAATTGGATACTTTATGCTAAGTTGGTAAATTGATTCTGAATGCAGTAAAAACTGTTCAAAACAAATGAAATGGAGAACATATTAACTTTTGAATACTACTGATCCTTATGGAAAATAACAAACATTTCTCATATAGCTATTTATTTATTTATTCTTAATACCACCTATGAACACAAATATTAGCAATGTTGCAATTGGAGATAGTATCTTTCTCAACCAGAATGAAGATAATGTCAACAGTTACTAAGGAAAGACAGGCAGAGGTAATTTTCTTTTCCTGGCCAATTTGAATTGCTGAACAAACTTTGGGCATACACATTTCTCTGAAGAACATATTTCACCAAAGCCTTATCTTTGGATTACTCTTCCAGAATAAACGAATTCCAAACCTTTGCAACAGTCATTCTCTACAGATATAGCTGAAATTCAGCCTTTTTTTTTTTTTTTTTTTTCACCTTCTAACAAGAGCCTGATCTCAATATTGCAAACTTTTTGGGACATAATATTTTCATAAAAGCCATTCGAAATTTATCATGACAGAGAGGGTAGAGGAATGGGTTCAGAGAGGAATTGATCCACAAAAGCCAAAAGGTAATTTGATATAGAATTGGATGGACACATTTTCCTTGGCAGGCTCCACGAATAATCATTAGTAAAGTATATGGGGCCCAGCAAATGGCAAAGACACACACAATTACAGCAAGTGACTTTGCAATCTTCTTGTCATGATGCAGTTTTGACCTGGCCCTTGCACAAACAGAAAAATCATTTTCTGGGGTCACAGAGTTGGCTCTGGATGGAGATGAGCTTTCAGTTACCAAAGACTCTTTCTTTGTTTTCATGGAGGAAGAAGCACTGTCCTCCATTTCTGACAAAGAGGATCCTCGCTTCAGCAAAAAACAAAACCTCCAGGACACACTGCTGCTCCCTGGAGACTCACAGTATTGAACGCTGCCGCGCCGCTGGCGTCTCTGGATGTTGTGGAAGATGCTCACGTTGAAGTAGGTAACAGAGATCAGGGGCACAAAGAACTCCAGGGTGGATGCACACAGGAGGAAGTACCAGTTGTTGAAGAACTCGGCATAGCAATGCCCTTCCTCTACCACGCTGCAGCCAGACACGTGCTCCCAAAGGAGAACTGCCGGAGAGTAGAGCAGGAAGGCAAGAATCCAGATGGCCACCATCTTGACAACAGGGTTGGACATCATTCCCTGCTGGGCTCTGTAAGATACCTGTGAGGGGAAAAAAAAAGAAACATGTTGTACATGTAGAGGCAAAAAAACAAAGAGAAGTAGACCAAGAGGAGCTTTGCATAGCATTTGCTAACTTGGAGTTGCAGCTTCAGTGATCACATGAACCTCTCTCAGGCAAGCTTAATTTATTGATGTTGACATAACATTGGGGTATCTACGTATCAGTAAAAAGTATTAGGGTCCTGGTTCAGACAAGAAAACACAATCTTCCATCTGTGTTAGAAGTACTTTGCAATTTGGTATGCCTTGTTTGAGACATCTGCAGCCCGAATTGGCTGAATAATTAGCATCTTATAGTTGCTCAGAGAAGGATTCCCATTCCCTGACAACTGCACTGGTCTTTGCAGCACTTTTCAAGCACATTATGCTGTATGAATGCTTTTACATTTCCAGTGTAATTTTTTCTTATAGAAAAAATGTTTTGAGTTTGATTTTCCAGATTTTTTTAATTAAAACAACATGAAGTTACAGAAAAATTTAAAAAATAATAAAGTCAAATATAATAAGTTGAAGTAACTATAATAAACAAAAATAAAACTGAAATTTTATGGTATGGCATTATATTGGCATTTTCACAGGTCAGCAAAGAGCTGAGACCCCTAGCTCAGCGCCACATTTCTCTGCCATTTCAGCAAGCAGAGTGAGTAGTGAGAACTGCTGACCTCCATCCTTAGCATGAACAAAGATATGAAGCACATATAAGGTGCATTGGGTGCACTGCAGAAACCAAAGACACAGAGTGCATCTATTCTGCTTCAGGCACTGAGGAGGTTTTGTCTCATATCCCCAAGCAGTCTCTGCAGTCTGCCCTGAGTCAAACTCTCTGCCTTAGTTGCTCTTGCTCCCAGTGCTCTCCAGCATCATTAGGAGACAACTGTCCTAATGGCCTAGACGTAATCCCCAGCATCCTTTACTTCCCTGCCCTAGCTTTTCCCTCCCACACTGATTTATTTCAGATTTCCTTCTCCTGTGGTCCCTTTTTTTCCCAGCTTCCAGCCTTACCCTACACTGCTTAAATCAGCAGCACAATAGCACAACAACTTGCAGCAGAACTTGTGAGAAAAGACATATTTTCCAGCTATGGGCTGGAAGATGGGCTGCAACTACCTCCACATGCCAACATATGTTCTGAAGGCTATTATCTTGATTAATTCAAGTCCTATATTCACCAATATGGCAACATGCACAATACTAGTATCAAGATACAGCCCTGCCAAATCCCACCATCTTGCCACAAAACTCAGAGAGGCTATAAATAGGGTACTTACAGCTTTAGTAACTGAGAGGAAACGGTCATAACTAATTATAACAATGTTAAATACTGAAGCTGAACACATGAGATAGTCCATAAGGAGCCAGAGCTTACAGATGCCTCTTCCAAAGTGCCAGATCCCTGTCAGGGCATAGGGGATGTAGAGAGGGATGCAAAATGCACCTACAGAAAGCAACCACAGAGACACCATGAAGTTGTTACAGATTGCAAACAACACTCCTTGAAGTAGAAACAATATTCTGGTATTTAGTGTTAAAAAAAAAAAAAAAAAAAAAAGCCTACTATTAAGGTGAATACATAAGTTATATAAAGAAATTCTTACATTACCATGAAATCTAATGAAAAGATTCAGATCTTATTATATGCTGATTGTTAGGGATAAAATTGAAGCACATCAGCAACAAAGGATCTGCTGAAGAAGAAAACTGCAACCTAACCAACTTTACAGTCTGTAAAGATATATAATCAGTGCTGCATCTTGTATGCACTGTCATTATGCTCCAAAATGTAACCTTGTTGTTCTGTATCTTATCTTTCATCTCTTTGAGTTTTCCGTCAAAATACATCTACAAACATTGCCAACATAGCTTGTTAATATAAGATTAGCACTTGTGTACTAGAGACAGTACACTGGAGAGTCTGCATAGTGTCTGGAAACGTTTACTAATGATAGAGCAGGCACAGTAGAGATGTGAAAATCTATTCCATTTTTAAGGGGTGTTTTAAGTCCCAACACTTCTCCAGTTAAGATTAACTACAAAAATATTTTTTGTTTTACTACGTTTACCTTTTGTCCAGAAGTCTTTCTACTGAAGTACTTGGAAACATGACACTATGTCAAGAAGGGGTTAATACAGAAAATAATCAGGAGCAACAGTCTGTTGGGGGAATGATCCATCTGATCCATAGTCTACACTGAGCTCCATCAGTGGAAAGAGAGCTCATTGCTCACTACATCTACCAGGAAGGATGCTGCAGCAAGTGGAGTGTCTTTTCTCAGGAGACAAGTGATAGGACTCAAGAAAACAGCCTCATGTTTAGACAAGAGAGGTTTAGATGAGACATTAAGAAGAATTTGTTCTCAGAGAGGGAGATCAAGCATTGGAATGGGCTGCCCAGGGAAGTGGTGATATTCCCATCCCTTGAGATGGAGATCCTTAAGAGATGTGGTCATGGCAGTAAGGGACATGGAGTTTGGTGGAGGGACATAGTAGGTCAAGATGACAGACAGACTTGATCCTGAAAGTCTTTTCCAATCTAAACATTTCTATGATATTATGATCCTAAATCATTTTCACGTTTTATTTTTAAGCCAGCCACTTATTTATTGTACTGTGGGAACACAAGAAAAACTGTTCAGAGCAGAAGCTGTGGAGCAAGATAAACAGCATGAGAACCAAGGACACCTCTAGAAGAAGAGAGAACGTCCCACGGCTCTGATTGGATAAGTGCCTGCATGAATGGTTGAAGAGTGTTTTGTAGAATGCTCTGCTGACATGTAAAGGTGGATGGGAAAGTTGTAGGGGTGGATGGGAAAGCTAGAAAAAGAAAACTTCTGAAGGTATATAAGTGATGTGAGAACTTGTAATGAATTATTTGGATCATTCACATCTGAGTCCGTGCATCAGACGCTGCATTTTACCACTAATATTCTTTCAAAATTATAGTGCAATATCTAATTCTATTTGTCTACATTCCTGAAAAAGCTGATCCAACAGAGATAAATACAAAGCCATACCAGCCTCATGATCTATTTTCAACTCTACAGGTTTTTCTTTTTTAATATGTCTGTCAAGATCTTAGAATTTACTGAACATGTTCAGGATGATGTGCTAATGGCTTGTCTTAACAAACATATCAAATATAAGCAGTATCAATTTTGCAAAAAACCCTCATTTTTCAAAATTGTTGATGACAGCTACTGCACTCATCAATTTCAGTGGATCAAACTATGTTTGACACCATGTCAAAAATGATTGTTTTTTTTTTTCCTGAAGATATCAATATAGATTAAAGAATCAGGCTTTAAGAGTTTATATTTGAAACCATTTTCAATTTTGCTAATTGGAGGATGCAAACAACATTAGTTATGTTGCCTGAAAAGATTCCGTACTTCTAAGAAATTTAAAAATCATCTTGACTTGACTACAGCAGCTTTAAAAAAAAAAAAAAAAATCTTTTCTGACTGATCCCAGAGATGAAGTCCTGGATTTAGACGGTCTATGGGCCAGCAAAATACTGACAACCATTTTCTGACAGCTGACTTGAGACTCCTCAAGGCGCCAGCCACAAAAAAGAGCAGGTGAGGATGGGAGGTATTTAAATCTCTTGACTAAATTGCAAGATACAAACAGAAACAAATTTGAAGATGTGTGCAATGAAATGATAGCTCCAGCAATTTTTCTGCCTGAAGTAGGAAAACAAAGGCTTCGATTCCTCTCGTTTCTGCCCCATGGGGAGGGCCTTGGAATTAAGGTCCACTTTTAATAAATGGCATAAGTGAAGAAACACCGTAATGGCTAGCTTCATACATTTCACTACTCAGCACTGCAAAAGAACAGTACTTTTTGCGGTGGTATTGCCAGAAGTGGAGTATGTTGCTGAGTGTTATTTCCCTCTTCAGGAGCCGGTGAGTACTGGTCTCTTTGACAGTCTCAAAGGGAAAGAAATTACGTGCAGAAATGCCTCCTTGCTAGCCTCAAGTCAAGATGATGCCAGAAGATTTATCATGCTTCTCAAGATAGAATCACTTCGTTTACTCCTAAGACAAAGTTTTAACAATTTAGAGCTCTGTGCTGAAGATACTACATTGAAAGAGCCAGGCAGACTCAGTAAAACACCAACAACCTTCTAAAAATTATTCAGTACCTCAGATCTTACTTAAAAACCTGACTTTTTCTGTTTGCTGGAAGACCTACCACTGGGTTTAGTTCAGTCTTCTCCTCAGTTTTAATGGTCTGATCCCTGCAGGAGCACTGCACAAAGCATTCATGGCCGCTGCCTCTTTCCCAGTGTCACTCACTAGGACTGAATCCACTGCAGTTCAGGGACTGGTGCATGGACACTGTGGGACAAGGGGGCTAAGAAGGAAAACAGATGGAAGATGCCAGCAGATTGTTGCATTTCTTGTAGCGTAATACACTCACAGGCCATTTAATACCGCATTAAGAAGTAATTCATTTACTTTGATGTACCAGAGATAGCTGTGTAAGAAAGCAGTTGCTCTGATAAATATGAAGATGTTGTGATGGCAGGTAATTAATAGTTTTACACAAGGAGCAAAAGTAAATCAGAAACTGTAGCATAGCTCCTCTTTCAGTCAATCAGTATTCATGTACAGTAGATACTCCTCTTTTTTTGAAGAGACATTAAAAGCATTTGCTATAAAAAAGAATGCATTATGTATCTCATTAGATGTATTTTGAGACGCAATAGGCTGCTGAAACAATGCAGTTTTCATCATCACTTACCTTTCCTCATGCCACACAGCTGGGAAATATTTCTCCAAGAAGAAACCACCCACCTACAGAAGACACCCTGCTCCCCTTGAGAGTATTGGAAAGCAAACGTTGCATGCTTCCCACTGCAACTTACCCACTGCAAAGTCAGAAATGGCAAGGTTGAGAAAGAAATAGTTACTCCGATGCCTGAGATTTCTGTCCAAGATGAAAGCCAGGATCACCAGGACATTTCCGAGGATCGTGACCAGAGCCAGCAGCACCATGAGCAGAGCCAGGAGCACCAACACACCCAGGGAAAACTGAGGGGTCGATGGCTGTGGGGACAGCGTCCCGTTACAGGGTCCCATCATGCACGGAATTTCAGCAGAAGAAACTTGGAAAGAAACTTGCAAATATCAGATTTATCCTGAAGGTTGAGAAAAGCTTATCAAGAGGATAGGCTAAAGACTGAGACACCAAAAAACCAAAAAACTCCACTGTATCAAAATAACAGATTACAAAATTTCAAAAACTGGAATCGTCAGTGTTTGTCTGAATGCACCTGAAAAAAAAAAATCCGTAAAAAAGACACCTAATAAGTAAATGCACACTGCAAGACAATTTGTCTCTTTCCTGAAGGCTGATCCTTATCATTTGAGGTCAGAAAAACTGGTCTGAAAACTCTTTTCAAAGTCAGGCAGTTTGCATATTAGCATTATGCAAGCAGATTTTACACTGAATTCTGCTAAAGCTAAAAACAGAACTCTTTTCACTTCCCCAGTGGTCAACAGAATTTCTATAATCACAGTTCTATTTCTCTTACTGTAAAAAGTAAGCATCATTATTCTTGTTGCTATAGCACTCCTATACTACATAGTTAAGAACAGAGATATGCATTTTTTTAAGCCGAGGATTACAGAGCATCCAAAATTAATGTGTACGCTACAGAAGTGTTACCTTTTGAATTCACTCGAAGCAAGAAACCGTGGGCATAGCAAGCCAAACACCTGGCCTTTGCAGGTCCTTGTGAGCATGGTCCATGTAATCTTTCACTTCATAAGATTCCAGGAGAGAGCCCGCTGCCCTTAGTCCTTTGGAAGCCTTAGAAGGCATAGTCATTCTTCATGGTAATTTCACCTATTTTGGTAAGAGTGACACAGAAGTCAGCAGGCTGTGGCTGTGACTCATGTCTCTGGGTCACCAGCCCCATAGTGCTGCAGCATGCTCTGAACAAGTTTTTAGGCTGTGGTTGTAGTGCTAGATGCTTAGCAAGAAGTAGGGCACAAAAGATGGAAAGGAAGCACTAAGATACTTTGGTGCAGTGCTCTGATCGTGTCTTGGGAAAAAAATAAATAAATATTATATAGAGAATTAAAGCAAAAGGTGTAGTGCAACAGGAGTAGAATGCACCTCGGGAATGACAAAATACAGCAAATGGACACTTGCCTCAAGTGCATGCACAGCTTGGGAATTGCACAGGAGGATCTAAACCTGCCTGAACATTCACAAAGCCACCAGGAGACAGTGAAGGAACTTAAAATCCTGCTTGACCATGTAAGCATGATATTAGAGAAACTAAAGCTTACCTGGAGTTGATGCTTGTAAAGGACATCAAAGACGACACAAGGAGCTTACACCAAGAGTCTCCACCTCTATGTTAGTAGTAAAAAGCTGAACAAGAAAAATGTGGGCTCATTGCTGAATGGGGCTGATGATCTAGTGATGGCAGATGTGACTAAGGCTGAGGTTATCATTGCCTTCTTTGCCTCAGTCTGTACTAACTGCATCTTTCCCACCCCTGTGCTTAGTGAGCAAGTTCAAGGAGGAAATCTGACAAATAGAAGGATTAAGTCAGGTTTTACTTGGGAGGACTTGACCCATAAGAATCCATGGAACCCAATGGACTTAAGAGGACTGAGAGAACCAGCTACCATCCTTCAAGGCTACTTCCCACCCTTTTTGAAAGGTCTTAGAGTTCCATGAAGGTTTCTAATCATCAAAGAAATGCACAGGTTTCACCCATCTTCAAAAGATGCCACAGGGTCACTGGAAAAATAACATGGCATGTCCCCATGAATGGTACTTCTCATCATTTGAAGAAGGAAAACTTGACTGAGTATTGTCATTAAGGGTAGATCATGCCTGAGCAACATGGTTCTATAATGGATTTGCAGATAAAGGGAGAATAGTCAGTTGTTCCAAAAATTAGAGAAGAAAGCAAATTAAATTTTAAAGTTTTATCATAGCTCTTCACAGGGATGAGGGAAAAAAATCTACGTGGGCTCTCCTTCCTTTTTCCATGTGAAGTAAAACTACAGCCTAGCATAGAGGACACAGGCAGGAGAATCATTAAAGAGTTTTCTAAGAAATAAACAAACAAATAAATAAACAGATAACACCATTCCTTCCAACATGTATGTTTTATTTGATTTTTAGGATTTCAGAGGGCAAATTCAGAAAAATGCTGTTGTGGGTGGAGTTGGACCTCACAGAATCATTGGCCTACCGTCGCTGTCTACAATCGCTACCAAACATCTCCGTAGACAGAAAAAAATGCAATGCCATTAAATGATGAAACAGATAACTGGATAGCAAAACTTTGCTCAGAAAAGCAAACTTGGCAAAGAAAGTACCTTTTTGTCAGTGCATGAAAGGCATGCCCAAAAACAAATACTGAACAAGCATACTAGCAGAAGCCTGAAAAGTGTCTTTTGGAGAGAGGAAGACTTAGGATGAGACTTGGACTAAGACAGCTTTAATGCTGAGAACAGCAGCAGTGTTTGGCTTAATGTGGGAGCAGTAGAGCACTTAGAAACACACAGCAAACTCTGCAAATGTATAGGAGCTGAGTGAACACTGTATATCAGAAACACTGATCTCTAGTGATTTCAGTTCTCTGCGTGGTTTCAAAATTACTGCACGCTCTGCTCCCTGAAAAAACTCTTCTTTATCAGTGCTGCAAAGTTTTTACCATTTTATCTCGTTGATAATTGAGTAGGCTATGTTTCCATAGTAATCAACCCATTTAGTTATAAAATGCAAAAGATTTTCTTACACAGATTTTTTTTATTTTATTTATTTATTTGTTTTACTGAAAGCAGGTAATTCAAGTCTTTCCCAATTTGGGCATGTCTACAGCTTCTCTGTTGAGCAGATGTCCATTTAGTAGACTAGCTATTCTATAAATTGTTCAAGCATGTACACGCAGGTGGGTTTCATTTTGTTTTTGTTTTTTTTTTTCAAGACTTACAGAAAAGTAAACCCCACAAAAATCTGTGCCAGCACCTTAAGTCACAACAGTGAAAGCAGCTGTGCTGAATCAATGACCTCTCGCAATTTATCTCCTTGCAGCCAGGCTTATAATGCATAATACTACTTATGTAAGGCAAGGAAGCAAAAATAAGCTGTGAAATGCTATCATCTGCCAGTACAAAAACTGGCAAGAGAGATCTTCAGCTTCAGGCCTCTAAACAGAATGGGATTTTAGCTCCTCAAAACCATTAACTTCTTTGTTACCATTAAGCTGTTTGTATTCACTTGGGCTGTGCTCACAAAGGGATCCTCTGGTTCAGCAACATTTCTATAGCCCATTTCAAATTTGATATTTATTCCAAAAGGAAACTACTTAAATCTTTGTTATTCTCTGCATTATTCTCTGTTAGATTTCTATGTCTGTACTTTCTACATACAAAGGTATAGGTGACCCTCTCTACTCTGCCCTCATGAGGCCCCACCTCATGAGTGTGCTGCATCCAGGTCCAGGGCCCCCAGTACAGGAAAGATAAGGAGCTGTTGGAGAGGGCCACAGAAATTATTAGAGGGCTGGAGCACCTCCCCTATGAAGGCAGGCTGAGGAAACTGGGCTTGTTCAGCCTAGAGAAGGCTGCAAGGAGACTTCATTGCAGCTTTCCAATATTTGTAAGGGGATTATAAAAAGGAGTAGAATCAACTTTTTACAAGGGTAGACAGTGATAGGACAAGGGAGAATGGTTTTAAGCTCAAAAGTGGAAAGCTTTAGATTAGATGTCAGAAGGAAGTTCCTTATAGAAAGAGTGGCAAGGTGCTGGAACAGGCTGCCCTGAGAGGCTGTGGTCTCTCCATACCCGGAGATGTTCAAGGCCATGTTTTATGGGGCCCTGGGCAGCCTGGTCTAATACCAGCTCTGGAGATAGGTGGCTCTCTCTGCCTGTGGCAGGAGGGCTGGAAGCTGATGATCCTTGACGTCCCTTCCAACCCAAGCCATTCTATGAATTCTATAATGTGCATATTTACATTAAAATAGAGGGGAAAAAAATACAAATAATAACACTCATCCATCCATGAAAACCCTGAGGAAAACTTGCAACATTCAACAAAAGGTAAGAAAATCTGACACCTGGAATGGATTATAATCAGGCTCCATTGCATTACTCAGTCTTTTTAGCACTGCATATTCACTCCCATTTTATTAATAGCTATTTAAGACACCTGTCTATCAGCTTTCAGACAGACTTCAGAGAACCTCTTTCTCAAGAAGTGAATATGGCCTCTGCTCAGTTATAGAGAAAACCCAGCTTGATGCTTGTTCAGTGGCAGACAAAATACACAAAATATCACAGCAAAGGTTGTGATATGGCACAAAGAAATGATTTAGTTTAAACATCACTCTGCCACCTTGAATTTCTTCCAGCCATTTAGATGGAATATCTTTGCACTTGCAAAGCTTTACACACAGGAGAGTATTGTCTGTTCTTACACAAGACAGCCAAAAAACTCAAATGCAGCATGAACTTTGTACTGCTTGCTCTGCTCATTCAACAGGAATGTGATCACGTGCCAAAGCTTGGCCTACCTTCTTAGTAATCAAAGAGTGCACAAATCTGGCACTGAAGATGATTTAAGCAGGACCAAAGAGGCAGCCACTACCAGGAGAAAAGCTAGTGCTGGTAAAGAGAACAACTGTTTATGCCTGTGATTATTTTGATAAACAGTCTCAAAATTTCATTACCATGGAAACATCTGTTTTCTACAAATGACTCAGTTACTAATGCACATGCATTGTGTCCTACAGCACCAAGAAGGGACCGCATTATAATTAAAAGGAGAAAGATGTTGGATTAGGCAGTCGGTACAATTAAATAATGCCCATCATTGTAATCATAATGAGCACTATGTTGCCTTCATAACACTTTTTAAAAGGAAATGTTACTGTTCCTGTGTGGGTTTTACAGGACATTTCAAAACTGTAGCACGTGTTTCTCCTCTGATAGCTAGAGGTCTACAAATTGTGCATAAAATTTTAACTCAGCACATACAAAAAGAGGTGCATCCCCTTTGTGAACACATACAGAGATATCTACAGAAGAGTTCTTCCATAATACCAAAAAGAAGCACTTCAAGG